CGTTTTAAAGACTTGGTGACTTGCACCAATGGTTTAGTTTCTATATTGGTCAGTCACATTCCTGCACCATTCTTTTTCTATAATTTGGTTCTCCTTGAATATATTGGCAATTCTTTTCCCGTAATGCTTTTTAAACTTTAGAATGTTCAATTATTCATCATAAAAGCCATCTATACATGTTCTTAATATATGTATATAATATGAATTCAATCATTTGGATAACATTCTTGTTTGTTTGGTCTATGTTTGGCAGGCTATCTTGATTATTCACATTCCTGCTCGCTTCAGAAATTTTAACATTCACGATGCTTCACGCTTTGGTAATACTCTTTCTTCTTTGCCCCTCTTGCTTTGACTCATTGTGCCATTCTCAAGTAATCTTGCTTCTTCACTTAAATGCAAGCTAGTGCTTGTGCACACACAAATGCATATTCCTTATGGGTTATTTTGGAGATGATTTTAGATTTTGGTTCTTCTCTCTGTTTTAATTCAGTTGAATGTGAATTTTAGTTAAGAAAAGTAGCAAAGGTGTGGATATCATTGCGTCACTTTGCAACATCTATGACACCTCAGAAGATGATGTGAGGAAGAATATGGGGAAAGCCAATAATTTAATCGCAGATATATTGAAGAAGAAGCCTTGTCTGGCATCTGATTGTGAAACTGTAACGCTTGAGAATATTGACAAAGGTTCTTCTCACCTGTTGTGTCAGTTATTATTCATACATATCAATGTTGTTATGGTTTATTGATGACGCTTTCATTTGCAGATGGTTTGTTCTACTTTAATGATCTTATGGAAGAATCATCTCTGCCATCCTCTTTAGATATCTTAGAAAAAGATTATGATGATGCCATTCATAACGAGGGTGAGCTGGATGAGAGGTTGTTTATCAATGAGGAGGATAGCTTATTAGCTTCAGGAAGCTTGTCTGGAGGTTCAATGTCAGCAAGCAGTGTCAAGGTATGATTAAATTTGAAGTTTCTTCTCAAGTCTACTATCTTGTGTAAGAGAATACTGATAAACCTTTTTTATCCTTCTCTAGAGGAAATTTGATTCATTAGCGTCACCTGCAAAGACAATTACAAGTCCACTCTCTCCACAATGCTCTCCTGCATCTCATGCAAATGGCATTCCAATTAGTTCAAATTCAAAAATGGCAGCCACTCCTGTAACCACTGCTATGACTACTGCTAAGTGGCTTCGCACTGTCATATGTCCTCTTCCATCAAAGCCTTCACCTGAGCTGGAGAAATTTCTGGCATCATGTGATAGGGATGTCACAAATGATGTAGTGCGCAGGACACAGATTATATTGCAGGCTATTTTTCCTAGTAGTCCTTTAGGAGAGCGATGCTTAACTGGAAGCCTTCAAAATGCAAATCTCATGGACAATGTCTGGGCAGAACAACGGAGATTGGAGGCCTTGAAGTTATACTATAGGGTCTTGGAGGCAATGTGCAGGGCAGAGGCCCAAATACTGCATGCAACTAATTTAACCTCATTATTAACTAATGAGAGGTTCCATAGATGCATGCTTGCATGTTCCGCAGAATTAGTTTTGGCCACACATAAGACTGTAACAATGTTGTTTCCTGCAGTGCTGGAGAGGACTGGAATTACAGCTTTTGACCTTAGCAAGGTGATAGAAAGCTTCATTAGACATGAAGATTCTCTCCCAAGAGAATTGAGGCGACATCTGAATTCATTGGAAGAACGGCTTTTGGAGAGCATGGTATGGGAAAAGGGTTCCTCGATGTATAATTCTTTGACAGTTGCCAGACCTGCCCTCTCTTCGGAAATAACTCGTCTTGGATTGTTAGCTGAACCAATGCCATCATTAGATGCAATTGCAACTCATATTAACTTCTCTTGTGGGGGGCTGCCCCCTGGGCCTTCCTTACAGAAGCCTGAGACTTTACCAAGTAATGGTTCTTTCTGCTTGAGCTTTTTAGTAGTGTTTGCATACTTCCAGTATAATTCATTGTTTATCATATCTTAGTGTGTAAATTTTGTTGTTCATAATGACCCAAAGAGTTTTTATTGCCTCCTTATTCCTCCCAAAGGAATAATTCTATGTTGAAGACACATGGTTTTTACAGTTTAGCTAACGGTTCTGTCAATGCGTTTCAGATCAAAATGGGGATATTAGGTCCCCAAAACGACTCTGCACAGAATATCGAAGTGTGCTAGCAGAACGAAATTCATTTACCTCACCAGTGAAGGATCGGCTTCTACCCTTCAGTAACCTTAAGTCAAAGCTGCCCCCTCCTTTGCAGTCAGCTTTTGCAAGGTATATCTTGAATTTCTAGGCTGAGAGCAGTAATCATAATTATTTGGTGCACTGCACTGAATAACCTTGTCTTCTATGCAGTCCAACAAGACCAAATCCAGGAGGTGGAGGGGAGACGTGTGCAGAGACGGGGATCAATATCTTTTTTGGAAAGGTATTGCACCTTGATAATATGGTTGAAGCAGTTGTGTGAAGTCTGTATTTGGTCAAGATTTGTATTATTTCTTTTTGTGCTTCATTTTGTCCTTATATTTCTTTATTAAGATGATATCTTGTGTGAACTTGTGTGTCCTAGATTGTTAAGTTGGCAGCAGTCAGAATAAGTGGCATGGTTGAAAGGCTTCAATTGTCTCAACAGATAAGAGAGAATGTGTACTGTCTTTTTCAACAAATACTAAACCAAAGGACATCAATCTTCTTCAACCGCCATATTGACCAAATTATTCTCTGTTGTTTCTATGGAATTGCAAAGGTCCAGCTTTGAAAAAATGCTAGAGTTTTTAAAGCTGTTCTTCATTTATTTATTGCTTCATTCTTATTGTGTTCCTTTTGCAGATTTCTCAGCTGAACCTGACTTTTAGGGAGATCATTTTCAACTACAGGAAACAACCACAATGCAAACCACAAGTTTTTCGTGGTGTATTTATTGATTGGTCATCAACACGCCGCAATGGGGTACGTGATCAAATTTCACTCCTTCCTTGCTTTATGAGAAGTCTGATATTACAAATGATTTTGTAACAGAGAACAGGACAGGAGCATGTCGATATCATTACATTTTACAATGAAATATTCATCCCTTCTGTAAAAGCTCTTCTGGTTGAGCTTGGTCCTGGGGGAACAACTACAAAAGCCAACCGAATACCTGAAGCAAACAATAACAGTGATGGTGCAGTTTTGGCTCAATGAGCTATTTTGAGTTTTATACCTTGCTTTTTCTGCTGTTTCAGGCAAACCATTGACTAGTATACCTCTTCTCTTCAGGCCATTTAGCTCAGTGTCCTGGATCTCCTAAGATTTCTCCTTTTCCTAGCCTTCCTGATATGTCCCCAAAGAAAGTGTCTGCATCACACAATGTATATGTCTCGCCATTGCGATCAGCCAAGGTATTTGTTTCCCTTTTTTTTAATCTGTATATTTTTTTGCCCCCATTTACTTACGTTCGTTCACCACAAACAAATGACAACTAGACTTACTTCGTTTGACTTCTAAAGGCTGTTTCATTCATTCACTGAGTCTATGCTATTACACTAGTCTTTTCTTTCCCCTTTTGTAATAATATACACCAAATGTTGTCTCATAACATGTCCCAATGCATGAATTCACTCCAGACTGAAAAACAAATTCTATTTTCACTGAGTGTGAGCTTTTTTCTTTTTATCTTCTCAGATGGATGCTCTAATATCACATAGCTCAAAAAGCTACTATGCCTGTGTTGGGGAGAGCACTCATGCATATCAGAGCCCTTCAAAAGACCTAACTGCCATCAATAACCGTTTGAATGGGTATGATTTCTCTAATCTTAAATTCTTCTAGGTTGAAATATCTCCTAACAAATATTCCAAGGGAGACCGACTCAAGCAAAAAAATAAGAAATGAAGTTAGCCATGATTCATAGCAAAATATTTGTGCATGTTGTGCCCAAAATTTCAATAAAGCTTATCTCTCGCATACTCATGGCCACATCTTAACTTGATTTAACTACTAGTCTTTTTAAACAAATCTGCCAAAACATCTCATTGATCATCGCTATCTGGTTGCATTCCATGTTTAGGAAAAATAAGTATCTAAATCATGAACATGTCAAATACACTTTTTTATAGGCTTGTGTTTTTTTCGCCATGCTTACATGTTTGTTTATGATTATCCTGGTTAACTCACTGTACACTGGCATTGCCAAAAAACTTCTCGATTTTTCCCTACAAAGCAAAGCTGACATTATCTGCTCTATTTCTTTATGTTTAGCACCCGGAAGGTTAGAGGACCCCTCAACTTTGATGATGTTGATGTTGGGTTGGTCAGTGACTCCATGGTTGCAAACAGTCTCTATCTTCAGAATGGAAGTTGTGCATCCTCGTCAGGAGCACCAGTGAAGTCTGAGCAGCCAGACAGTTGAATGTTTAACTTAGAATTGTTCATGTGTATATTCTAATTACTCCTCATTTTTCATACAGTTAGTTCATAGCAGTGCGTTTATGACACAGGTGGGTATAGAATGAGCGGTGAGATTGTACAATGCCGCCACTGCCTGCCTTGTACTTTGTGTATGTTAGGTATTGGAGTGGAAAATGTAGGTCTCTCGCTTAGTTTTGTCAAATAAAAGTTTCTTCCTCTTTGTAGTTCAATTTGATTTTTCTTTTCTTTTCACCCCTTGCTGGGTTCAAAATTTTGCAAGTTAATCCTACTCACCTAGATCTTTTAATAACTATACATATCTTAGTCACCTAAAATCAGAATCACCTGAGCAGTTGTGCCTGTCTTTACAATAAAATTATGATATTTGCAAATTCTGATCAGATGGTTCGTTTAAATTTTGAAATTGAATATTTCGGCAATTTTTTTTTTTTGGTTTTTACCAACAAGATTTCAGCAAGTTTGATTCATACAAATTTTGCATGTAGTTCCACTTGGGTTGTCAAAACTATAACTATTATCCTCCCCTTTTTCTTCACTTGGTTTTCATAAATATAAGCTTTTGGAATCAAATAAAACAATGAATCTCTGACGCAGGTGTTACTGATTCTTTCCAATTTTACAAGGATGTTTAAAGGGTTATTATGCAATTTAAATTTTAAACTACAGATTCTAAACCTGCATTTGATATATTTTAAATCCTGACTAATTAAATCTGTTAAATTGAAGCTCACGTCTGATACTTTTAAATAAAGCAGAGAGCCCAGTGGGGTCCATTTCTTCTTCTCCATTCATGGCTCATCCACGTCACAGGCATTCCTCCACCATCAGACCTTTTGCGAGACCTGATCAATGGTAACGGCTACGGTGGAGTGGTGGATGAACTCCGGTTGAGAAAGCCGTGAAGCTATGATCCTTAGAGAGAGAGAATCAAGTCCGAGACCAGCTCCGGTGGGACTTTCCGGTGGAAGGTGAGCTGGTTTTCTCAAGCAGCAACCCTTCCCAGCCCGCCGAACAGAGCGCAAGCGCAGTTGATACCCCAGCTATACTTCCCCCAACAATCACGACCTTTGGCTTTCGATCGCCAGCCATCTTTTCTATTTTCACTTCCAAGCAAAACTTAGCACCAGATTAGAGCAACTGAGAGGAGATTGATGTTTTCGTATCAGCAAAAGGTGATGAAGCACAGACCTGACCAAGAGAAAGGCTCGAGGATGATCCAAACCCACCACCAATGGCGTTGTTCCTCTTATCATTGAGCATGTTTCTCAAAGGCATAGATTTTGCATGGTTAAAATGCAGAAGTGATAAGCCCTGAGCGAGCTCTCGATCTCGAACCGCTCCACTGTTACAAGTTTTCTTCTCTTCCTTTTTAGTCCACGTGTCAGCCATTAATCTACCGCATGCTTACATGGAGATTCCACATCATTCACCGTAAGCCCCATCATCAATTTTTAAACTGCGTTAGAGGAGAGGGATTAATAGGGCTTACATTTGAAATGCGAGGGCCCAATTAAAACAATTGAATATCTAATTAAAAATTGGTGTAAATTATATGGACTTGCAGACATGTTTTCCCTTTTATTTTTGTCAACTTATATATTTAAAATTTAAAAAATTACCATATAGATTAGTTTATATAAGTGACTCTTAAAGTTATATACTTCATAAATAAGTTTATTTATATTTAATATTATTTTTGTCAACTAGTATATTATAATTATCATTTAAAAACTTAAATGACTCTTGAACAACATTTATATGAAAGAGGGATATTTTAGTCCAAAATATATAATTTTACAATTACTTAATAATTGGATAGATAGAAATAAAATCTCTAAAATAAAGCACAGGTATATGTTAAGTAAATTTTGATTTACAAGGAGGTTTATAAAAGTTTTATAAACAAAGGAGAGATCTTCATAATTAAGGTAAAATAAATAAGTTGGTGTATTTTAATCCAAAGGAAAAAAAAAAAAAGAATGATTGCATTAGAAACACAACATTGATTAAATTCTATAATCTTTTTAAAAAAATCAATTGAAGCCCTTAACTTTTTTTTTTTTTTTTTTGAATAAGTGCAGGAAACTTCGTTCAAAAGAAATAAACTCGAACACAGACAAACCTAAAAAACAAGGAACGAAAAAATAGAAACTAAACCTACAAACCACCCAATAGGAACTACATATTTGGTGGCAAATCAAAAAAGTTTAACTCATATTACATAAAATGACATGACTAGTCAGCTATCCTATTATCCTCCCTATTCATAAAATAAAAATTTACAGTCCAATTTTTACACAAATGTCTCCTAATAGCACTTAACTGGTTACGTACTTCAAAAAAGCCTATAACTCATTTTCCTTTGATAAATAAAAAGCAAATGGTTTAACGATGCAGCAATGAAGCAGAAAACTTAGATTAGTATGAACCACTAGAATGCAGGAAACGAGCCACAGGCAGAACATAGATATAGCCATTAGAGCAAGGAAACAAATAGTCCTTCCTACCTCATTATTATTCAAGATAACTTAGCCCGCCTGAGCATTCACTCAAAAGCATCACCCTAACTACCCATTCCAGATTTGTTCTCCAGTCAACAAGTCAGCTTTACAGGTTGAGCCTCCCCACCCCACCAAACCCTCCTCTCTTCACAACACTACTACAATGTCTTAAGCAGACACTCGATTAAGCATAATATATGAGCCAAATACTTCTGTCTATATTACTGATGAAGCAGAAACCTCACCAAGCAAACCAGGCATACATGCTTGCACCAGGAGACAACCCTGCTTTCGTCATCCACCAATCCACTTTCTTTTTCATTTTTTTTTTATAACACAGAACATATAAGAAAACTTAGGATTTGACTACCATTGATCAGATTCAGTTAGGCAGCAGAAGCCCATTCAAAGTATTGGCAGCGAGCACCTCGAGTAGCAGTCCAATTTCCACAGCCAAAGAAATGGCTCCCTTGCTTGGGTCCTGGCTTCCTGACCATTCCCTTACTGCTTTTCACTCCACAGTAGCAGTGAGGATGATACTGAAACATTTGAGTGTTAATATGCATGTCCTTTGTTTTCTTGGGGTATTGAGGGGCAAAGTTGAGTTGCTCCGGAGACAGCTTCGACATATAAGATTGATCAGCAGTCTGCCACATTATAGAATTTGTGATAGAAAATTTGAAGCCCCGGCGCATAAGAAGTGCCAGCAGGCGAGCAGTATTTTTGGCATCATCCAAGCCACAGTGAGCACGGCCCTGCCAGGCCAAACCTGCCATCTCAACAGCCTCCTTTAGATTGCACCTCGCAGGACCAAATACCTCACGGAATGGAATCTTCAAGTTGATCCATCTGGTTAATCAATGGAAAAATAAGAGTAAGTTGAAAATAAAATGTAGAAAAATATGAAAGACATGAATGAATTCTATACTGCAGACAGTACCTATTAAAATAAGGAGGCTTCCGTATGTTCTTGAACCGGCATTCAGATTCTAGCATCACCCGACAGTCCCAGTTAGACCATGTAACCACAGCAAAGTTAGTGTTCTTTATTCCTTTCTTCTCGAGCCATTTGTCATGCCTAAGGAGGGCCTCACTCAATGTAACACCTCTGTCCACCTGAACCAACATGGTAACAGTATTAACAATCTAAACGCCACAGACCAGAATAAACAGAACCAAAAAGTGAGAAAGCTAAAGATAGATGAGATTCAATAAGGATCAACTTATGGCCGTGTTCCAGATGGGATTTACATATAAAACCAGGGTCTTCCCAAAACAAAATTATTCATATTCAAGTATAACATCAATCCTCATTGTTTGTCCAACCTTGTGTTGTGTGCGTCAGTTTAGCTTTTATTCAAACCATTCAATTCATAGTATAGATTGTTGATAACAAAGCAAGTTCGTATTTTGTTTTTTGTTTTTTTTGGGACAAAGCACGTTCGTATTTAGCAACACTGAAACCATAAAACACCTTATAGAAATTCTCTTGCCCACTCATCTTCAAGTTATTCAAATATTTTCCCCAGGACAAATCACATCAAGTCATTAGCACAAAATTAAACCACAAGGAACCAAAAAGAAAAATTCAGAATCTTCCATTAAATTTCCTCATGGATGAATCCCTCATTCTGTTTCATAAAAGAATTCATAGAAAAGTTTTGTCTGGAAAGCAATACTTATAGGACAAATACAAATGACATATTGCCGGGTCAATGGCTCCATGTAACTCTTCCTTGTGATATATGTGTAATGTGCAGATCTAGTTTAAAAACACAGGCACAATTATATCTCATCTGTCCAGCTTAAAGTAAATGTGTTATCTTTGATATATATATTCTCCTCATAAAGTTCAACGGGTTTGGTAACAAAAAGAAAACTTAGTGGCAATAGTTATTCAGGGATTCTCTGATTTTCCAGCTTGAAAAAGAATGTCTACATCTTCAAGGACATATCCTTGCCTTTACATATGTCATGGGATAGAATCATGCATACGGCTCTACTTACAGGTGCTCTGCATTTGGGATATTATTGTTTTATTTTCCCCTTTTTTTGACGTTTTAAAAGTAAAGGCCCTAGAGTTATTCTCCATCCTCAAAACCAAACAGGTCCAAGTCTTTTAGGAATTAGGATTTTATTACTTTCTGTTTTCAGTTTGTCTTGTCTATCTTGTTTTGATGATATTCTCTAACAAGTTGTATTTTCTTCAGTCTAATAAACCTTCTTCTTTTAATATAGCCATATGAATCAGAGGTGCAACTTGTCATGCTACCCAATCATTCTATGCCTACGTAAAACAACTTTATTCACTGCACATCAGGCAGCCTCAAAATGCATGCTAAATTTGCAAAAGAAGTTCTAGGGAAGTCTTGGCATTTATAAAAGGAAGTAAGAGGTCCTCACTCCTCAAGTCTACAACAACAACAACAACAAGCCTTATCCCACTAGGTGGGGTCGGCTATATAGATTATACGACATTATTGTACTCTCTAATTTACCAAGCTTTTAGAAATGTTATTAAATAAGAAGTCTCAGTCAACAACTTTTAAAAGTGTTCTCTTTGGCCTTTCTTTACACCATTGTCACTCCTCAGGTTTAAAAAAAGATGATTCACTAAAAACAATAGACACAAACATCTGCAATGGCAAGTAATCCAATTACCAAGTTAATATCTAATCAAGTACGGTTCATCTCTCCACTTCCCAAATGCCCCTCCACAGCCCCCCCCTCCTGATTACACATACATAGAAGGTTAGGAGTAAAGAAGCAGTGAATGCAAAAACATGTGAAGCAACCTCAGCAATATTCCGATAAAAAAAAAATTAAAATTAGAAAAATACTAGGTATAAAACACATTTTGATCTGCTGTAGTAACAATCAATATTGTACAAATTCCATCATCTAAGCTAAACAGTACGTAAGGGAAAACATGCCAAATTACCCGCTATTACAGTTGCTTTACTATTGAACTCCTGTCTAATACATTTTTTCCTTGACATCTCTTTCCACTTTCCCATTAATTACTTCATTATCCAGCCAAAAAAGTGCCCACCACCAACTAATAATTGGTAAATTTTCGGTTTTCAATTGATCAAGATTTTCATCATTGTTTACAGTACCAACCAGATGCTCACAGTTTACAGATAGGCATGATTCATTATAGAAATTTGCATTACAAGTATCCAAGGGAATTAGGGTTGGTTAAGTAACAAGGGACAAAATCATAAGAGTCAAAAACAACAACTGGAAAAATAGCATATGATGGCTTGTTGAGATCTTATGTACCATTTTCCTTCTTGTAACACACCTGAATTTGCTGGATACCAGTCAGATCCTTGCAGAAATCACTCAGAAGCTGATTGCAGGTGGGCCTCACATACGTCTGAAAACATGCTTCCAGCTGGCCAGTCACACTGCTCACTATGACAGATGGAAACTCGATAATTTCTTGAGGGTGAGGATTTTTATCCTTGTCACAGGTAGCCTCAAAGTCTATGACCACAAAATACTGAAATTCTTGATATTGAAATTCATGAGGGTGACCTGGAGCGTACATGTTGATAGGAACAAACTGAAACTGACCCTCGACAGGGAATGGGTAAAAATGCCCTTCAAAAGCATTCATTTGGCATTGCAGCACCTTTTGTGAGTTAAAATGATAGTTTGACCAGGCATTGTAATCATGGTGATAATTATGTTTGTTGTGAAATTCATTGGAAGGCTCAAGAAGCTCATTAGTGATTGGGTAGTCAGGTTCAGCAACATCCCTAGCCTGATGGGTAACAGGCTCATTTTTAAGCTCCATAAAACCATCCTTAGGACTTCCATTATATCGTAAATTGCAAGGGAATCCCTTGCACTGGAGGCATTTCAAAGGTGCCTCACAGATCTTTTGCATATTTTCTGCAAGAAAAAAAAGCAGATTATAGCATGAATTGGTGAGAATAAGCCATGACATGTCGTTCTTAAAAAATAGCATGTTCCACACTCAGAATTTGAATTGAGAAAACAGTTCGCACAACCAGGAATATACACTAAGATAATTATAATTCATGTTTTCATACACACAAATTTTGCAAAGCTTAAAACAATAAATATTTGTCAGTTTCTTGTGCAGAAAATGGTGCAGCTTGATATTAACTTAATGACTAGGCACTAATTTTTCCTACGGCTAAAAACCAAAAACTCATTAACAAGAAAATTCTTTCAACCAAAAAAGAAAGAAAGAAAGAAAGAAAGAAAGAAAATTCCAAAATCTAAGACATGTATTTTTCAAGGCTGCATTAACATAGTTTTTCTTACTGCTTTCCTGTATTTCAATATACAGCAACAAATTTGCGAACATATAACTCAAATACTGAAAAGACTTCAATCTTTAGCTACTTCTATAGCTTCCCAATTACATGCATTAGATAGTAGGTACAAGACTAACTCCGACACAACAGAAAAAGAGAATCAAATATAAACAAGCCACACTCACATGAGGTAAAGCAAATATCTGATTAAAAAAAAACACAAAAAGGAAATAGTTATGAAAACTACAAATCAACTATGAATTCCAGAGATGGAGGCTTATTCACAAGAAGCCAATGGAAGAGAGTTCTGATAATCCATATTTGAGATATGGATACCAAAAAGATAAGTTTAGGAATTCACTAGAGTCAAATTACAACAAAGAATTACATTTATGTAAGGGATGATGGCATGAGTGCGAGAGACAGTAGAACGGAGGATATAGCTCTAGATAGAATCAAGCAACCGCAATCTGCAAACCAAATGTTCCCACTTCCAATTTTGGCACTTCCCATTAACCAGTATATTCTATAAAGAATTCCTATTGCTGTATACAGTTAACGAGTTTCAATGAACATGATACATGTATATGCATATATGTGTCTGTGTTTGTGTATTTGCATATCAGTGTCTTTACAAAGAATATTAAGACAAAAGTAGTTGGTCTTTTGCATGCCACGAAGAACACTTTAGTTTGAATGTCACTGATCAAATTAATGAACTATATTCCAACATAACCTTCTCAATTTGAACTTATAGGCAGTGGGGAATTTCAATGCATAACAGTTGATTCCAAACATTCCATCTGTCAAACTTCCCCAAATCAAAATTAATCAGAAGCTTAGGAAATTTATTATCCCTTCACCTCTAAACTCCCCTGGGGAGAATCATACTCTGTTCTGCATCACATGTTCAATCCAACAATGCCTTGATCTCCTAATTCTTACTCTTACCTTATAATTTTCACACTCCCCCATATCCATTCCCATGATCCTACCATGTTAATTCCGAGCATTACCGTCAGGGTCCAAAAAATCTTCGAGTTATTATTCCCCAACCGAAACGCCACTGACTACAGAAATTAAAGTCAAACCGGATAAAAAAAATCACCCATTTGAACCCAACGTTCATAAAACCCTCTTTCACATTGTATTAAACTAAAAAAAACCCGTGATCAAATCTAATTGAACCACCGCTCAGCAAGTAGATAATAACCGAGAAGTTAAAACAGCCAAAGGGAAAGAAGCAAGTCGAGGATACAATGAATACGCAGAAAATTCAGAAGCCACCAAATAATTAACGGCAATCAAACTGAAGCGAAAATCCAACTGCATTAGATCAATGAAACCGACAAAAACGAATTAGAAGCATCAAGCAGCCACCTTTAGTTTCATGGGCCATCATGATCATCAATATAGTTGTGATCCACAAGCGAGTACATCAGATCCTCCTACAAAATTCTCGCCTGCACAAAAATAAATCCAAGTTGAGCAAAAATTACAAATTTCCAGAACAACACTAAACCGTCACAAAATCAAAGCGCGAGGAGGGAAACCTGGTGTGGTTATAGAGAGAGAGAGAGAGAGAGAGAGAGAGAGAGAGGTGGTTTAAGGAATTACCTACAGGATATATATACAAGAAGAAGACTTGAAGTTGTTTCCCAGAATTTTAGAATTGAAGGAAAGTGTTGGGAAAGACTGGGCTCCACGAAATAGTTAAAAATAAATAAATAATAATAAAAATAATAAGAAGTAGAGCTATTAAAAAACGGAACTCCATGATCGAGAAGTACACGTGCTCAAAGCAGAGTGGGACGTTACAAGTAACTGAGCAATAGTCATCTCGGATTTAAGATATTTTTTTGTGCACGGTAATTCAGTCCAACTGTCAGAAAATTATTATTAAATTGAAATTATGGAAGTGAATGGTTTTTAAATAATTGTGGATAATTAATTAATTATTAATTTTAAATAAACTGATAAAACCCCTCCTCTCCAAGCAAGGGGAGCATGTTGATGATATAAGAATAACTTATTACTTATATATATTATATAATACTTATTATTAATTATTAATAACTTAATTAACTTTGAATTAATTTAATTATTTTTTCAAATAGTTAAATAATTTAAGATAGTGAAAATGACAATAAAATCTTTTTAAATTATATAAATGATAATGTGATCTCTCAAAATACCATAATTCTACTGAAATTTTTAAGATCTTTTATATCAATAAGTTATAAAGTGAAAATATTATTTTATTTTATTAAAAATAATAAATCTCAATCACAATTTTATTTAAAAAATAATAAATTTTATTTTGTGAGTTGCAAGAATTGAATAATAAATTATAATTTATTAAATGTAATTTTTTTATTAAAAAATAAATTTTTAAAATAACAAACTCTAATCATAACTTTTATTTTATGAATTACAAAACTTGAATAAAAAATAAAAACTTGTTAAATATAATTTTTATTATTAAAAAATAAGTTCTCAAAATAACAAGCCCCAATCACAACTTTTATTTAAGAAATAATAATTTTTATTTCAAAAATTACAAGAAGTAAATAAGAAATTATAACTTATCAATAAAGATAAAATAATTTTTTTAATTTAAGATTTATTAACACAAAAGTTGAGAGAGTGATTTTACTGAATTTATGGCATTTTAATATATCAAATTATTATTTGTATAATTGAGGAAATTTTATTGTTATTATTTTCTTTAAGATGCAGCCTTAAACGTTTAGAATAGAAACAATTTGGTTTTTGTGTTGCATAAAGTTAAAAAGATAAGATGCATGCCGGCCCAACTTAACTTCATAACTTAACTTCTTAAATAAAAAAAGAAAGGAAGATAAGAGTTTATAATTAATTTTCTATTATTTATATTATTTTCTCATTATTATGAGTTTAAATTACTAATTAATTAATTTTATTACTAATTAGTGTGGGTTTCATGTGTAAATAGAGTTTTAGAAATAAATGTGATTGCTCATAACTTACAAATAATATAACTTACTAAAAATAAACATGAACATGATAACATGAAATAAATAATTTTTTGGGAGAAATATGTGTTATTTTTTATCAATATAATGAAATTTCAACTTTTGTTATTAATGCTAACTATAAATATGATAATATGTAAAATTAGATAATTAAACATTGACAATTTTTATGTGTTGAATAACAAGTTTACTCTTTTTGCTGGCAAACGTATAACAAATTCAATCAGTTAAAAAAAAAAATCAGTTTCTTCGAAAACAGTTAACTCTTTGGCTGCGATATATAAAATTTAAAATCAAGTATGAGACTTTATTATTTTAAATATATTTTAGAAAGTTTTAGAAAATTTCTTTTTCACAAAATTCAAATTCAGGAAAGAAACCGAACGATAAAGAATGAGGAAATGTAAAATATAGAAATCGCAAGGGAAATTTTTTGCGAATTATTTATTGAGCTTAAAAAAGAGGAAAGAAAAATAAAATAATCTATCCATCTATCCACTCTTTTTAAGTTTTATCAAATCACATCAAATCTCCAACCAAAAAAAAAAAAAAAAAAAGAATCACATCAAAATCTGACGTTAATTGCTGGCGTGATTATTTTCCCGCTCTCTTACGTTGACGTCTTTGACTTCGATGGCCTCCTTTTGCATGCATGCTTTCAATCAAGTTCTTCCTACTGAACAATGCTTGTCAACTATGGAGTATTATTTTTTAAAATTTTTAGTAGGAAAATAAGAGTTTTATAAAAAAAAAAGGCCTAACTATACTTAAAATTTAATAATTTAATTGGTTGTTGTTAATTACATATTCTTAATTATCAAAACCTAAAAGGATGCTTGTTTATGTGAGACCAACACTTATATAATTAAATTTGTGCTATTAATATTAGTTATAATCACTTGTTAATTTTAAATGAATTATTATTAATTACATATGGTTATTTGTATCTTAACTTAAATAGATGCTTGTTTATACAGAATCAATACTTGTACAATTAAATAAATACTATCAATTGTAGTCACTTATTAATTTTGAATGAATGGATTGTAAAACTATAACAACTTAAATTTAATTTCAAATTAAAGGTGGCTGAGGATTTCAATTGTGTGACATGAAGATGTCAATTTAATTTATACTAATAATTTAGATTACTTGTTCCAATCTTATAAAAAAATTTAGTCTTATTTACAAGTCATATCATTAAATTCTCATTATATTTTTTTCTTTTACTTTCTGTTAAATGTTAGCAAGGAAAAATGTCTATATTTAATTTGATAAAGTTAAAAACTTATTAAAGTTTTAGACAGAATCAATGAGTTTTAAAATTTGATAATATTTTTATATTATATATAGATATATAAATCCATTCATATGTTTGAAAAATTTCATGCTAAATTTGTTAAAATCATTTTTTGTAAGAAAAAAAATCTCTAATGATGAACTCCTCAAAATTTCAATTTTTAAAAAAAAACTATCGCCATATAGATTATTTTAAATATAACTAAATTAATATGATGTGTCAATGATAATGTATTTAATTTTCTGAAATTTATTTTTGCCACAAATAGTCCCTCTTGGAATTTGGATTTGATGTATTGATAAAAAATGGATTAGATGCAAATTACCTTCTTAAGCCATGCACACAAATGTTGTTACAAAATGTTATACATTTGTTTATGAGATAACATATTAATTAATTTTAAATTTAAGAAGTAAAAGATACCAACAACATTGAGTCTAGTAAACGAAGTTAGTCTCTCACAATATAACTAACTAATATTTAAATTTTTATTGAACGAAGTGCTCAAATTTAGTATCTAATCATGCTTCAAACTGATGAATTACATCAATACTCAATAAAAAAAAAGATAATCCCGTTTGAAATATGCTCATGCAATAAATGTGACTGCTTAACTTTGATATCTCTCACGAAAAATATTTAAATCTTACTTTATTATATTGTTATAGGCTAGGCGCCTTTTCATTAACTAGATCTAATATCAACCAATAACTTGTTTTAGTTAATAAAAATAAAAAAAATATAATATTTGATTTCTATAATTTTATCAGTTTTCATTGTATTTTTGTTTTAGGAAAATACAAATGTAATGAAATGATATGTTGAGTTTGAATCATACTATCAAAATGGGGATTTTATTGATCAATATCAATACTAATACTAATATGTGAGGGAAAATACAAATACAATGAAAATATATGATGAGTTTGAATCATACCATCAAAGTGGTTATTTTAGTGATCAATATCAATACTAATCCTAATATGTAAATATTTATTAAAAAACATTAATTGTTTAAACCGTGAAACTTGTCATCGTTCACTATGAGTCATTGGAAATACAGTCAACCTCAAACTATTCCTGTGCCACAAAATAAGTCCTTAGAGCCTCATGGAAGACTAAATGCGATTCACACAAAGATTGATGTTGTGAAATATCAAAGAAATATCTACGCGCATGTTGGCTGTCGTGCTTGTTCTCACTACACGACAAAACGTCAATATATGTCACTTTAGGCTACAAGCATTTCTTCCAAAATCCAAGCCGAGATTTAATGATAGGCAAAAAAAAAAAAAAATTGATTTGCGGGCTAAAATTGCTGAGAGTTTTTCATCACTTAAATAAATAATTGAAAGCTTCTTTTGTTACACAAATCTTATCCTATAAAATGTCATTCTCCTCACTCATGTTTAGTTGTTTTTGTACAAGAGACTTGTTTGGTTGTACAAGAGACTGTTTGGTTGGAAGAAGTTTTGAAGAAGATAAATAATTATGCTACTCACTTTAAATCCAATAATATTTTTACCAAATATTTCTGTTTTGATAATAGTGTCAAATCTCAATTTATACAAGTTAAATAAGATTTAAGTAAAGTAACATGCTCACTTAAATAATTCATAATCGATTGTGATACTTTGATTATTTAAGTTATAGAGAGACTCACAATCCACTAGACTCCTATAGTTTTTAAAGAGTTTAGAGATAATAGAAATAATAGAAACCTTATTGTAATGTATTAGTTATTGACTAATTGCATTATATGGATCACATCAATAACCATCTTAATTAATTAAATAAATAATAAAATCCTACATTATCTTTAATTAAATTGGTTAAGATGTAGAGAATAACTGACAGTTACATGATTGTAGGTTAGGCCTCTGTTCATTGGGCTGATTTTTTGTGATTCATTTATCACGATCATACAAGATCATAAAGATTAATCTTTCTAGTCTTATTAATTAATGTTAATCCTTAAATATTTATAAATATTGTAACAAATAGTTGTTGGTATGACAATTTTATTAGCATGATAATATATTACGACGAGGTGATATTATTGTTTTTTTTTTGTTTTTGATGATGAGAGTTTATTTATTACTTTTTTGCAGTTGGTTTTTTATAAAATGGTGATTTTATTGTTTAATACTTGAAAGCATATTGCTTCACATAACGTTGGATCCCAACAGTCAATTTCCTAATTTTTTAAGTTGATTTTCTTAAAAATATTTAAAAATTATTAATATTTTAGTTTTAGTTTATATTTAGTATTTCTCTTTACATTATTTTTAA